GACCGAGATCGTCCCCGGGATCGCGGGAGGATATTGAGCTGCCACGACACCCACGTCGTGACCACGCGTCACTCCACGGGTCTAACTCCTTCGCGCGGGAACACGACGACGCGACCACAGTTGTCGGTGCGTGATCCACGTGGTGAAAATCGATCCGTCAAGTCACACACAGGTGTCTGGCATCGCGTGCAGCTCGCCATGTCGGTGTCGACTTCGGATCCAACGGCGGTTAAGCGAGCCATGCGGTACAAGCCAAAAGTGCCTCAACACTGTCTAGGTGCAATGAATCCAACGACATACAAAAGTGCGCCAAAGGAATGTTGGCGCCGATCAGGAGGGGCTCACGGTAGGCTTGCCACGCGCGCTCTGCAATACGCCCAGGCCATTATGCGCTGGAAGTCGGCATGCCGGCATTTGTGCAGAGAGGCACCAATGTTGGGCCCACGCCACGTAACGCATGCCCATGCCACCATGGAATGGCCCATCCTTACGCTCCTTGAGTGCATCGCGGCGTGACAATAGCCATGCATCTCACGTGGCAAGTCTGACACTGCGTCGCCGCACGAGGACACATGCATGGCGGCACAGCAAAGGGGGTTGCGTGGAGCGCGGCCAATGTGGAGACGCTCACGACCATACCCCTCCGTGACCATGCGCAGGTGCTCATTCTGCCATTCTATCTGCGTTCCTTCTCTCGTATCGCATGCGCTCTCTGTCACTTCGATTTTTCATCTCCCTTACAATCTTCACGAGTGTAGGTTACTCGGGCGCCGACCAGACGATCTTGTCGGTAAAGTTTGCGTCGACCTGCCTGATACGGCACAGGTCCGTGTTTAGGTCACCGACCGGCCAGAAACCGCCGACCTCGCCGTAGTAGGGTTTAGGGCAGCATCTCATTAAGTCGACATTGAAACAACAGCTCTACCGACCATTCCAACCGGGATCCCAAAAGGGTACTAAGTCAGCGTCGCATGGCCAGAAGACGGCCTAGTGCGCAACAGCCCTATCCCATCCCACCCCCTGCCGACACTGTAGACGTCGATATCAAAGCGCGGCTGGAACGTGCAGAGATCGCCGCTGAGTTAGAAGTACTTGAGAGGGAATTTGAGCTTGACGCCCGCGCAACCCATCGGGCGTACTCCGCCAACGTGACTCAGTACCGTCTATGGTGGTCCAATCTTTTCATCACATAGGGACCATGGTAGAGCAACCTACGAGTAGTCACATGGCCGACGTCGACATGTCCGACGTTGCTCCCCCAACCGACCACACTCCGACATCTACCCCCTTTGAGACGGTGAAGTTACTCTATGCTCTTGACGCTCACACACAGATTCCAGAAGGGGATTTCACCACGGACATTCCCCCACAGCCGATAGGGGAGTTTACAAAGCCAGGTAGTACGTCGGCTCCGACGCAAGATGGACAGCCAGGACCTTCGTCGGTGCCGGCCGACGGAGAAAACCTGGGTGATGACGACGACGGCGAAGAGAGGGACGACGAATACGACGACCGTCCTCCGCGTAGCATGAATCCGCGCACCTTTGAAGAACGCCTCAGGCGGGAACTTGAATACATAAATGACATGCTCGAACTGGACGAGGAGGAGGACGAGCAGAACATGGCGGTGCCACGAGAATAGTGGAGGGCGGCAGACTTCGTCGAGGACGCCATGGTATACGCGTGCATCGACGTGCTTATCATGGACGCCCTACGCCACCTACAAACCGTGGAGGCAGGAAGCACGCTAAGGCTGTACACCTCGTGGATCTACCACTACAAGAGGTGGGTCGCAAAGATGCTCAAGCAAATACGCGACAAACTCCCCCAAGAGTACAGACTTAGGCACGTTGACGAGATCGGCCACTACATCCGCGACAACTAAAAGAAGGATTGGGACAACGAGGCCGAGGTCCCCCGGAACTACATCTGGCTGCACGGCCCGCGTGTCACCGAAGCACGGTTGCGCGCCTACGTGAAGTTTATGAGGCGTGAGTGTAAGCTCGATGCCGAGTCGATCGAGGAGGGGAACAATGCCTCGCGGACTCAACCGGTGAAAGCAACAACGGTGCACACGCTCCTCGGGTGCATCAAGGCATGCCAGACGGCGGCGAGGGTGGAGGCGGCGCTCTACAAGGAGAAGGAGCTGGGCATCATGCGGGAGATCTTGGTGGTCAGATCGGAGGTGCGGGTCATGGTTCGCGCCAAGAACGAGAGGGACATCAAGTAAGTTGGTCGACACCGCCAATATATTCTTCGTCACTCTGAAGTCGACGCCGTCAAAATAACTTAACCCGGTGGCTTTGTGGGCAGGAATTGCGCCGACCGGCGTCGCGGAACCATCGGCGATACCTACACCGCCGCACAGTTCCGCCAGATCATGATGAAGGTGCTGCCGACATGGGCGGCGTCGGCGTGGAACCCGCGGGCAACCACTCCTTCTCGACGCTGTGGAGGTTTCTGCTCATCAAGGTGCTCACGCTACTCTCCCACCACACTCTCCTATGCGGTGCAAGCATCCGCGAGATCACGCTCCCCGACATCTTCTTGTACCGACTGGCGAGCACGTCATCGGTGAACCCGGAGTACCAGCCGGTCGTCATGGTGATCGCCGCGCGGAACTCGAAGACTTCCAAGGATGCCCGTCTCCAGCAAAGCTACGCGGCGCGACACCTGGAAGCGGAGTTGTGCGCCGTCGGCGAGACCGGCCAGTGGTTGCACTTCATCCTGGACCAGATCGGTAAGTTCCACGGCGTCGACTTCTTTCGCCTCTGGACACCACCGGACGTGAGCGCTGGTACAAGAAGCACCTCTTCTTCGCCCGCAACGACAAGGAGCAAAAAGAGCTCCCCGCCGCCAGCCACCAACGTTGGACGTGGCAGTTGTGGACGACCAACAAGGTGTTCTGCAAGCGGAACGTGTATGCCGCTCGCGCCGGAGGGGCGCAGGAGCTAGCCATGGAAGGGACGCCTCGGGCCGAGATCGCCGAGCTGGGTCACTGGGCACTCGACAAGATGACGCGTGCTTACATCATGGCCATTCACGTGGGGGTGGTGATGAGGAAGGCCGACTACTCGGGTGCCAAGCAAGATTACTTCTAAGGTCGCAGAAGGGTGGAACCTTTCGACGAACTCAAGGACATCATCGCCGAGCACATCTTCCCCGTCATGGATGCCTTGCTCCGCCAGGTATGTTAATCGGTGCCGACAATGTCTCGATGTTGTCGTAGCGTCAAGATCCCTAACCCCTAATTACCCACATCACCTGCCGACTTGCAGGCGGAAACGCGTGCTGCCAAGGTATCCGACACCGACATTGCCGCCGTGCACTTCTGGTGTACCCTCCAGATGATGCGCCGCATCGTCACCGAGGACCTCGCTGTGAAGCTGGTCCGCACACCATGGCACCCGTACGTCCAAGGTTCTCATACTTCGGATTGCCCTCTTCCAGCACTGGGCGAAAAGGGTCGAGAAGGTCGACACCGAAACGATCAAAAAGCGCCGGGACCTGACTTTGATTCAGCCAGAGGTAAGCCGACAATAGAGTCGGCGTTGAGCCCTTACGAGTGTATTCTAAAACCCCTCATAGCTAACATCTTTCGCCCACCACTGCAGGAAATCTCTGTCCGCTTGGACACCGAATACCAGGCCGTGTCCCTCCGCCAGACATACCATACCATTGGCGTATGAGAGGGAGTGCTCCGCGGTCGAGAAGATCGGCCTTTTTCCAGGAGGAGATCGAGAAGCGCGACGATACCATCGCAACGCTGACCGCCGAGGTAACCCGTCTCACCAAGACACTCGTGTGTCAGAAGCACGGAGGATGCCGCAGGCACCGCCGCTGGCGACCAAGCAAGCACCGAGCGAGGGTGGCTCCGCGGATTCGGCAAATACGGGGGCCGGAGCCAAGAAACGGGATGAGATACACATGAAACCCCCACAGACGGTCGACGAGGCTCGTTACGAGCTCAGCGTGATCCAACCTTGGTAGGAGGCAAAGACCGTGAGGGACGCGTGGCGCCTCTAGAGCTGCACCACCGCCGAAGACACCCGTCGTCTGTGCGACACGTTCTCCGAGCCGGGATTCGTCGACCGCCACACCCTCCTCGACGGCGCGACGCAGGGTGCACACGAGAAGAGGGTGCGCCGTATGATGAAGGTCATAGATGTAGTGCGCCTTCTTCGCCGGAGCGACGGCGAGGCCGACACCGAAGCCGTCATCAATGCTCTTAACAAGATCGCGGCGCCAGGCATTGGGACCTTCTCTGATGCCCTCACGGTGCTCAACGTGGACACCGTACCGACTTACTCCAAGGAGTCGGGTAAGGGCGTTAAGGGGCTCGGCAAGACGGAAGCTCCTAAGCTACGTGTCGCGTGTGCGTTTGTGGCACACGGGTTGCTGCCGGAAAAGTGGGTCGTCGACTTGTTCCCAGACACTTGGGAGGAGCAGATGGCGAAGACGTTGGCCGAAATGGCCAAGGAGAGCGCCGCTGGGCAGCGGCCTCCGACCAAGACGCCAGCCAAACGGAAGAAGACGGCGTGAAGAGACGTGCAGCATGATCGTCCCGTAATTGTGGCACACAGATACGATGTCATGTTCTTGCATTATTACAGTGGTTGTAAAACAGTAATAAGTGTTAGAACACCACTCACACACATATGTCAGCGACACCTACCTAGACGTCGGCCTAGCCTAATATGACAGATTGAATGGACTAGGGGCATGTGACGGCCCACCATAGGCCGACATCTCCCCGCATAACACCGCACTGTAGGGGAGTGTTATTGTGCAAGAAGTTGTGTAGTGTTCGGGGTTATTTGTTACCGAGCTTTGTGTTCTAGCTTTGTGTTATTTGGGTCTAACAGAATGTCGACAACCATGCCCTCAAAAAGTTACATGATCTACAAAACGATCCGACAAAGGAAATATGAAAACGGCGCTGATCAATCCAACACTAAACACTAGCAAGCATACCACCATACGCTCCCGCCGCCAGCCGACTACACCGCCGTGCTATGCTTGCCCTTGTCATGCTTGCCCTTCGTCCCCGCCTTGCTTTGCTTGCCCTGCTTGCCCCTCTGCCCCTTCCTCCTCCTGTGGTCCAGATCATACTCCATCTGCGCGTCACACGTCACATCGATGCCGAGCTCTTCGAGTTTGGGCGCGGCGACAGCGCACATTCCCCAGAACGCCAGGGTCTCTACCGTCGCTCTAGCGATCACGTCGGCGTCGAATCCCCTATCTCCCCCAGGATACACCCTCGGCAGAGCGTAACTCTGCAGCGTCGGCACGACGTTGTGGGGAACCTCCCCTAAGACTGGCTCCCTCTTGATCTCGACCTCCAACACTGCATGCATGACCACCTTGAAGTCATCGGTGGTAGTCTCGCTCGCACCGGCCACCATCGCGGCCGCCTTCCCTTCGCCCACAGCACCGAGCACCGACGCACCGGTCTCGACGAAGCACCACACGGCGCAGGCGGAGGCCGCTAACGCCTGTGCCGCCATCTCCGTCTTCTCATCTGTGTCTCCCCCCTTCCTCGTCACGCTCGCTGCGACCTTCCCAAATGCCGCGCACATTGAGACGCGGTGTATCATGGACGACATCAAAGCAGCCGACTTCTCCTTGCCTTTGTCGTCGTCTTGTTCAATGGGGAACCAGACCGCCGGCAGGAGCGCGTCGTGGATCTCATCACCGGAAGTCGAGTAGACTCGGTACTTGGCGAGTATATTATCAAACCTGTCACGCAAACACATCAAAATGGCCGAGCGTCAGTACTACCGAATTCGACAACACCACTCGGCAGATGGATAGCCGTCTTACCATGTTCGAGGAAGGTATAAGCCTCGGGCCCATATCTGCGTCCACATCGCAGTCGGCAAAATCTGGACCTCCTCCCACACCTTCTTCCATTCGACCATCTTGGTTTCGGGCAAGCCGGTGAGCTCGTCTATGAGGACAGGGCTTAAGTATCCATCGTAGACGATGTACGCCACCGAGTGGAGGTAAGCCAACTCCATGAAGTCAGGGGACTTGCCGATGAATCTTGACGCGCCGACCAGCTTAATCTCGCCCACCCACCCGGTCCCTTCGCCAGCCTTGTCCCGGCGGATGCCATGGCCCTTCCGCCCTTTCTCCTTCTCTTTCTCCCCCGCTCGCCCTTTCTCCTTCTCTTCTCCCCTGCTTTCTCCTTCCCTTTCCTCGCCGATCTCCCCTTGCCGACTTCCGTCTCCTCCTGTTTCTCCTCCAACTTCTCCTTCACTTTCTCCTCCGACTTCTCCATCTCCTTCTTCTCCAACATCGCCCGCGTTTTCCTCTCCGAGATCGCCTTCTCTTTCCCTGTGTTGGCCTTCCGCTTCCGAATCAACTTTCTATCGCCGACAGCGTCCGTAGCAGAAGATGGCACCGATGAACCACCGCCGAGGCTCGCCGAGGGCTCCAGATGTGTTGTGTCCGAGATGGCCAGTGCAGGGGGTTGCCCGGTGCCTTTGGCTGCTTCCAAGTGGGCCTGGATGGCAGCGATATCCGCATCATCAACACCCTTAACAGAATGTGAAGGGTCCACCGCCGTATCAATACCGCCGCCACCGGTGGCAAGTGCAGCACTCACACCCTTCTCCGCCGCAGCATCGACCTCATCTGCCACGGGAGTCGATGCTGCAACTTTCTCCGATGTCGGCGTCGCGCTAGTGCCAGCTGCCGATGCCTGCTGAGGTGGGGTTGGCTCTGCCGCTTTTTGTGCTCCCAACTGGGCGCACAGCAAAGCGGATTTCAGGTTCGCAGAAGTACAGGTGGCGACAGTCGGCGGGACACATGGGGCACTGGACGATGGGACGGCGACGTTGGGGGCGCCCGAGCGACGTGTTGTTTCTGCAATGCCGGCATCGACATTGGAAGGAGGCTGTTGCACAGCCTTGCGACTCGCAAGGAGCCGGAGCTGGCCCGTGAGCGCGTTCGCAGACAGGCCCACCTTGGTGGGAGACGGGCCTTTCTCAGCGCAGCCAGCCGCAGGAGCAGTCTCGCCGATCTTGGCTGCAGACGGGACCTCCGGAGCGCCACCATCTTCAGGGGGCAGCACGACGCCCTTGGCGGCAGACGGGCCAGTTGGAGCGCGGCCATCCGCAGGAGGCTGATGGGGAATCGATGACGTCCCAGCTACCTCGGCAGTCGGCTCCTTGCTAGTTTTGGCAACAGCACCCGGCGTCGTTTGAGCAGCGGTGATCTCCTTTTTGCCCAACCCTTTCCCACCGCTCGCCAGAAGAGGGGGCTTCTCGGCACTTACCCCAGCTGCTTGAGTGGCATTCTCGTCGGCTGGTCCCCCATCTGCACTCCCGCGTCCACCGCCCTTGCAATGCAATCCAAGCTTTCTAACCTTGGCCCCGTGCCGCTTTAGCAGGTCGTTCACACTCGAAGAGCGAGTCGCCGAACCGCCCGGACCCTCCACGCCGACGTCGCGGCTCCCCCCGGCTCCTTTGCTCCGCTTCACGCTCCCCGCATCATCTCCGTCTCCCCCTCCGCTGCCGCGCGCCCTCTTCTGACCCTGCTTGTGGGCCTCCCTTTGTTGCGCGGCCTCGGCGTCGTTGGCCGACGGCGACGACCCACGCCGAGCAGGCGCCACCGTGCCGATCACCTCGGTCATTAGCTTCAATCCGGAGGCAACAAACGACTGCTGTGTGGCCTCCGTCACCCCCTTCAGCACGTCTTCCTTGAACGACTTCATGAGGTCTTCCGGCAAGGCTTGCGCTGGGGCGGGAGGCGGTGGCGCCGGCGGCAGCACGATGTTGCGAGTAACCGCGGCGGCTATGTTGGCCTGCGCGGCGCCGAGGTGGCTTATGATGGTGTCCTCCAAACCCCGCTTCGCCTCATCCACCACAGCTGTCACGTGCTCGCCCAAGGTGTTGACCGCTGTTGCGAGGTCACATGCCGCATCTGTCCTTAAACGCCCCGACTCCGCCAAGAACTTCGTCGCCTTTCCGCCGAAAGACTGCAACCGCTGCATGAATCCATCCAGATTATCAGTGACGTTGTCGACGATGATGGTCGACAAGACTGGCGTGACGTCTTCGAGACGTTTCGCCGCGTTCTTGTCGGTGTCGGCGACCTGGGCGGTCAACGCCTTCACCTTGTCGAGGCATCCACTATTTGCCGACGCCAAGCTGTCCATCCGACCCATCTGCTCTTTGAGCGCCTCCTTCAGCCGTGAATTCTTGGTCCCCAACCGCATGTTCTCTTGTCGCAGCTTCAATGACCAGATGCGTGCCGACCAGTAGCGGAGGAACCAGGATGACCGCGCGCCGCCTTCTTCTTCCTGGACTTGTCCCCCCCAGCCTTGCCTGTGGAGGCCTCTGTCCTCCCTGCTCCGCCCGTCTCCTGCACGCCTGCGGTGTTACCCCCTTCGCCGACTATCATCAGGTCGACATCGTCCTTCGCATCGCCACCCACATCGCCGACCATGACCTTCCCACTCCCCCCATGAGCCACCTCCTTTTCCGTCGATACCCCCACGCCGACCTCCTTGATCTCCTTACCTTCCGTCGACATCCGACCCTTCCCCTCTTCCTCTCCTCTCCTCCTCCTCCTCCTCCTCCTCCTCCTCCTCCTCCTCCTCCTCCTGCTCAACTCCTCCTCCTCCTGCCCCTCTCCTGCACCCGCCTCTGCGTCGCCGTTGTCACCTCCATGCCCTCCTCTTGCACCCGCACTCGCGTCCGCGTGTTGTTGGGCGACACCAGTTGCTTGTGAGGCCGTCGGAGTTTCCACGGCGTCGTCGTCAAATGCAATGTCGGCGGCTCCGACAGGTTGAGACGTCGGCGCTGCAGACCGTACGTCGGCGATGCATATGGTGATATAGTCCACCATTCCAGTACGCAGTCACTTCAACCCCGATGTTTTGATGTTTTCAATGCTCACCCAACCACGGCCCTTATCGCCCGTCAGCGTGTCGATCCTTTTTGCCACCGATCCAAACGATGTCGCGGCAAGCATGCCGGAGCCCGCATGCCCGTCCAGGACTTGGGTGTCCGGCACTTTCTGCATTGAACACAGGCATGCGCGCATTACGATGAGCCAAACATCATGAAACCCGAAACCCTAAAAGGGTTTTATGCGCGTTCCCAACTCACATCGCGAATAGGGTGATTGCATTCGGCGAGCCTGTCCTCCACCACTGCTTGTGAAGGTGGCGCCCACTTCCACGTCCTACCGAGACGCCCCAGCTCGGCCAGGACGGCGGTGCGAAAAAACCGGAAGCAACCGACATGGTAGAGAGAGGCGGTCAGCTTATGATACCCTTTGCCGGCGACAAGCACGCGTGTCATCGACGACAATTCACAACTCACTTCAGCACGCGGACAGCCTCGTCGCGGTGCCACAGCTTAACAGTCTGCGAGTCGATGTGCCTGATAGAGGTCCTGCACTCCTGTCCCTCGGCCTTCAACAGATCTCCGGGGTAAAGGATGGCTACGACGCTGCAGTGTGATCCTGGAAGCGGACCGATGGTGCAAAGGCAATGCACGCCGACGTCGATCACAACCGATAGTCGACAATGGTATGGAACAACAGGACAAGGCGGAACCCACTCAGGTCGATCTCAGGGGGTAACGGCGATGTCGGCATCGTAAACCGCCGCAAAGCAAGAATGGTCGGCGTTTCTCATGGCCGCTCGAAGCGGGCCGACTCTTATCGTCCACAAACACTGGTCGCCCGGCGCTAGGCGCAACCAAGCGAACCTGCACGCATGAATGGGCATAAGAGGCACGTGAGCGGACCGCACACGACCATGTCGACGTCGACCGAAAGGGGCTATTGTGGAATGGTTTTCAAACGCCGCCTAACGATAAGACGATGCCGTCGATACGCAACAAGCACGAGCTTGGTTTGATGCGCGACCCAAATGCCTGTACGCGGTCGATGCATATTACGCCGATCAACTTCTTGTCCAGGGTCAATGCCTACTGCGCCGATGAACAAACCGCGTACGCCGACACACGTCTATCGATAACCGCAGACCATGTGCCCCCCTAACATGCGACAGCAAGTCGGCGCATATGAGCGCCATGATAACTTTACCCTAACATATGCAAGTCGGCCGCTACGTAACAACACCATTGCGCCGTCGTTGAACTCTTTCTTGTGGTCGCGCAGGACGGCGAAGTTGTCCCACTCGAAGGTGAAGCTGAGACCATAACCCATTCGGTGTTGAAGAGGAAAGTCATGCAAAGTCGGCGCCAACTTATCGGCGTCAGAGTTGGGCTCCATTACGGCTAAGGGAAGCAGCGAACGGCTAAGGGACAAAAGCACGAAGAAGAGAAGGCGCAGAGCTAGAGAAGATTGAAAGAGAAACGAGTTGACAAAAATGAGGAGCAATGCCACCTTCCACAAAGAATAGGGAGGTGGTGCCCTACAGGCCGGTTGAGCCTCGCCCATGGGTGTGGGGCCTGGCTCGGCAGGGCTTGGAGGCCGCATGCACAAGTGGCACATGTGCTCCTTCGCTGCCGAGCCAGCAAGTCGACATCACGTCCCCCGGCTTCGGTCGGCCAGGGGACGCAATTTCGCATGCACGCGGCGCGTCGCTTCGGGCGACACGTGTCGATCTCGCAGCGGATAGCGAAATTATCGATTTTCGTCGGGTACGAGAGCTCGCATGCAGGCGATGCGAACTTACGGGCGAACACGTGGCGTCACCGCATCGGGTCGCGAAACGGTCGTGTGGCCCGAGGGGAGCACCCGAATTTCGCATGGCCCTCGCCTGCCCGGCCGGGCAGGTCGCGAGGGTCACTGGGACTTCGTGGGCAGCCGGGACGGGAGGGCTGCCTTTGCGCTAGGGTTGTTGGAAACATACAATTCACGCTTCTGAAGTATCGAGCATCACGCCGTAAACGAGACGAATCACAGCGAAGCAACAAATCGAGTCAACCGAGGCGGTTGACAAAGCAACAGCAAGAGGTTGAGCAAAAAGTCAGCGACCTTTGACCTACCGAAAGCAGCGCGACAGCAAGGACACATAACTGACTCACTATAGAGCAGTTACCCGAGTCGTCGCTGTATCGAACAGCAACAGAAGTTACAAACAGCAGTTACAAACAGCAGTTACAACAGAAGTTAGTTAAACCTTTCATATTCCTTGTAATCATATAAAAAGCTTTTGTTTTAATCAACTTATCTTGTCCTCATACACCAGCAAAAGGTGGTTCAACCAGTTTACTAAGAACGCTTCCGCTAATTACATCATCCTAAGTCTTAGTCTTAAACGATCCTAAGGGTTTTTTCTCAGCCCAACATGCTATGAGAGCAGGAAGACAAGACTCAATGTTTTCTTTTAACTCTTTACAACGACAGAAGACATGGCAACGCAGAAAGAGCACTGCTCATCTACTGGGTCCCCTAGTGCTACTCCTACCCCACCTCCAGCCTCTGGACTCCAGACAGAGGGAGGCTCAAGACCAGCTGCTGAATCCACTGAAACACCCGTGAATCAAGCAACCGGCTTCGACCCAAGCATAATGGAGAAGTTCTTCTCCTTCATGTCGTTTTACGAGCAACAGCAACAAGCGGTACCTGCGCAGTCCAACAACAGCAACAATAACAATGGCGTTACCCCCATGAGCCTCGACGGCTCATCGTTTGCGCGCGGAAACAAGCAGCCTACCTTCGCGCCGTACGAACCTCAATGCGGCTCCATCAACTTCATGCTGAATCGACTTCCAGTCACACCTGGACAAGAAAAAAAACCAATGGATGCGCTTCAGCTGCAGTCACAGTTTGCACACGTTCTAAAACTCCAAACGACAACACCCTTCGACGGAAAGGACTTCTATACCTGGTCCTTCGAGTTCGAGCTGATGATGGAAGGCGCGCAAATCCTCGGCTTCTTCGACGGGTCTCTGCCATATCCAACACACGGGACACAATATGAGAAGCAGCAGTACACATATCAGCCGCTGCTGGCATACACGATTCTCTTACGGAATATAACGGCGAACGAGCAGCAGAACATCCGGTCTTATCGAGGATACAGCAACTTCGCTAAGCTTGCGTACAACCACTTGAAGAACTTGTATCAAGCAAACAACATCGTCAATCAGAGTCGTCTCATGGCACAGCTGACAACAGTTCAAATGCAACCCGGTGAAAAAGGAATGGCGTATATCAGCAAGTGTCGCGGCCTGCGCGGCAGACTTCATCGATGCGGCGAATCACTGTCCGAAGAAGCCTTCGTCACTGTCGTCATCACAGGCCTTGGTCCTCAGTGGCGCTCCACCCGGGCCATTCTTCGAGCCCATGGAAAAATCTCCGAAGCAGCACTCTGTGCAGAAATCCACGCCGAGCAACAAGAACACAGAGCGTCAGCACCAAAATTCGCATTCCATACTCAGAGACGCTACAACAACAACAACCGATAACTCGGAAATCAGGCACAGAGACACGAACCACCATTTTGTCACCTCTGCAAAATATCCGGTCACCCCCGTACCCACTGCCCAAATCAGCAGCAGTCAACACCACCTCCACGACAACTTCGACCCTCGAGCAGTCAAGTAACCTCAACGCAGCCGTCCAACCAGACACAGGTTTTGAAGACAACACCGCGACCTGCATAAGAAACGAGAAACATCGTCAGCTGCATGACACGAACAGACTCATGCGTCACCGGATCTCCACCGACCTACTCACCAGAAGAGGTACTCGACAAATGCATACCTCGACGCGAACATCTGGAGCCGAACCCGACATATGCCGCCATCGCACAGAGCGAACTGGGAAAGACACTTGGTTCTTGGACAGTTGCTGCGGCCAGCACATGTGTTCTTCAAGTCGCTTCGTTTCAACTTCAATCCCGCAAAACTAATGTTATCCTACAAATGTCGAAAGTTTTGATTGCAAGAGGACTCGGCTACAACTTGCTCAGCGCCAGCCAGCTCATGGCGAAAGGGATTCACCTTGAAGCCGACAGCACCACGCAGGAGTTCAAGCTGTACAACGGGAAAGGAGGACTTTACATGGGCAAGGCGGTCCTGAAAAAAAAGTATTCGTAATCGACTTCGTTCCAGATCTGGGCACCGCCGACAGCGACAGCATCGTGAACTTCACCACTTGGACGCACCCGCCAGACCTCGACCCCGACTTCAGCCCCGGAGGTTTCTGGTACTCGCACACGATACCTGAGGCAGAACGAACGAGAGCGTTAGTTGTGATACAACAAAGCACATCGGCAGCAGCAGAAACAACAACATCGGCAGCAGCAGAGACAACAACATCGGCAGCAGCAGAGACAACAACATCGGCAGCAGCAGAGACAACATCGGCAGCAGTAGAGACAACAACAGCACCAACATCAAACCTCCCCGTCGCAGGTCCTTCAACTGCACCACCTCCTCTCAACGAGCTGATACCGACTCCAGCACGACAGCTGACTCCAGTCCCACGCGCAATTCACCGAAGTGCCAACCTCGTCGCCGGCTTCTACTCCAACTCCGATCTGTACCGACGGTCACCTGGACATCGAGCAGGCGAATCACTGTGGCACAAGAGGCTGGGGCACCCTAGCAACACAACGTTAAACAACACGATAAGAGCAGGCGTACTCGACAAAGACTCACTGTTACTGCCCGACGGCAGAGAACTTTAACGAGCTCGTGGAACCTGTTTTACCTGCCCTGAAGCCGACTTACCGCATCAGCCGTTCGTTTCTCACCACAACCCAAGCGCTCCAGCATACGCACCACTTGAGAAGGTCTACAGCGACATACTGTACAACCGCGAGAGCGGACAAGGAGCTTACAACTACGTCATCACCTTCATCGACGCCGCCACCAGATACGTCTGGCATGCCAACCTGCCAAGCTGCGACATGGCTTTTGAAGCCTTTGTCGCATGGCTCCCGGTAGCAGAGAGAGAATCTGGCGAGAAATCGAAAAGTTTCCAGTCAGACAGAGGAGGAGAATATCAGTCACAACGCTTCAAGCAGTACCTGGCGGAAAGAGGCATCAAGTGGCTCATCTCCCTCCCCTACGCCCATCAACAGCAAGGCGTAGCAGAAAGAATGAACAGGACCCTCCAGAACACCATGCGCAAACTGCTACGTGGCATGCTGCTACCCAACCACCAGTGGCCTGCAGCAATGGACCATGCTGTCATGCTGCACAACTTGCTTTCGTCGTCGTCACTTCCGAACAACGCACCACCACATCTGCTGTGGACAGGGAAATTGGGCAACACAAAAATGTTACGAGTTTTCGGCTGCATGGTACAGTACCGACCGCACACTGCACGAGCCGAGAGATTCTCGCAACGTGCACAGTGGGGACTACACCTGGGCATCGAAAAACATTACAACGCATGGAAGATTTTCGACGTCCACTCGAAGGAAACAGCAGCAGCACGTGACGTTTTCTTCTATGAGAGACTCACCCTTCACACGTACCTGGCCAACCTGCAGGCGAACCAAGACCCCACAGATGGCATCCGAGGCAACCGAGCCTTCGCCTCGGCAGCAGACGAAGCTGACTGGGACGAGCAGAATGTGGACGGAGCTTCGGAAGAAGCCTGACTACTGCCCTACTGCTCCATACCCATCCCGATGGACGGAGACAACACCCGGGAAAACGTCAACGCCGAAGTCTACTACGACTTCGCCGACAATGGTTACGTTACACCCCAGCCAGTCGACACCGACGTCTCCGAGCGCAAAGGCCCCAACTTGGTCTTACCTGATCCAGAAGCGGGAGACGAAGCAGTCTATCCCGAGGACGAAAATCTCCCCCGACTCTCACAAAGTGGACAACAGATACTCGGCCTAGACACCGCCGTCCACGGAGCTTCGCCACCAAAGGAGCCTGCCACAGTTCAACAGGCTCTGGGGGAGGAACACAGGGAGAAATGGCGCGAAGCCATGGACAGAGAATTAAAAGCATTGG